GTAAAATATGAGTGTGTGTGTGCGTTTGCTTATCTGAAGGGACTTTGAAAAGAGACAAGAAGCTGGCCAACTGTTACATTGTGGGGGAGGGAGTGGGGCCTTGGGGTTGGGAAGTGGGTAGGAGAGATATGAAATAGGGAAAGACTTCACTGCAAACCTTTTATTTCATTTATTTTTATTTAAAAAATATATTTTGATTTATATAGAGAAAAAGAGAGAGAAACAGAGAATCAGAAACACTGATGAGAGAGAAACATCGATCAGCCACCTCCTGCACATCCAAGGCACATGCCCTTGACCGGAATTGAACCTGGGACCTTTCAGTCCGCAGGCCGAGGCTCCATCCACTGAAACAAACAAGTTAGGGCCACTGCAAACCTTTTAAAAATTGGTTTTTAAAAAGTGATGTGAATGTATTACCTAGAGAGAGGTGAAGATCAACTAGTTAAAATGTTCAAACGTTTTTAAAATTAGGAAAATGTTTTAGCAGAAGGGGAACGCTAGCGATTACCTAATCCAGAATTCCCCACACAGTGGCCCGTGAAGGCGGCAGGGAAACTCACGTACTTAAAGCAGCACAGGCATACTCGTTCCATCCTTTTTTCTTTCTTTCTTTCTTTTTTTTAAAAAATATATTTTATTGATTTTTTTTTTTTACAGAGAAGAAAGAAGAGGGATAGAGAGTTAGAAACATCAATGAGAGAGAGACATCAATCAGCTGCCTCCTGCACACCCCCTACTGGGGATGTGCCCACAACCACGGTACATGCCCTTGACTGGAATTGAACCTGGGACCTTTAAGTGCGCAGGCTGACGCTCTATCCACTGAGCCAAACCAGTCTCAGCTCATCCTGCTTTTTTCTTAACTCCTCACCCGAGGATAGATATATATATGGATATATAGATATATGGATATATAATTGATTTTTATTTTTTATTTTATTTTTTAAAATATATTTTATTTATTTTTTTACAGAGAGGAAGAGAGAGGGATAGAGAGTTAGAAACATCGACCAGCTGCCTCCTGCACACTTTCCACTGGGGATGTGCCCATAATCAAGGTACATGCCCTTGACCGGAATCGAACCTGGGACCTTTCGGTCTGCAGGCCGACGCTCTATCCACTGAGCCAAGCCGGTTTTGGCTATAATTGATTTTTAGAAAGAGGGAGAGAAACGTCCATTCGATGCCTCCGGCCTGGACACTGACTGAAGCCTGGGTAAGTGCCCCGACCAGCAATGGAATCTGCCATCTTTGGGATCGATGCTCCCGCCGAAGGAGCCGCCCGGCCAGGGCTCATGCGCCTCACAGCGCTGCGCTTTGCAGTAACTGCGTTTTCAAAAACAATGTTTGGGGTGACCTTGCATCGAGCAAATTGAAAATCTTCTGGAAAGGATTCCCCATTCCAGATGCCATTAAAAACATTCATGATTCATGGGAAGAGGTCAAAATGTCAACTTTTTTCTCCTTTCCGAATCTTCTTTATTTTAATGATTGTATATTACCTTTGCCCCCCAAACAAGCATAAAATGGTAGAAGTTACATTAAAGTCATACGAAGCTTATGAATGGTGCTGGTTAAGTACATGTCATTTAGTTTTACTATCTTTTACTTACATTTTAACTGAAAATCTGATATATCCGCTCTTGCAGCTGTCATTTTAAAAAATATATGTTTTATTGATTTATTACAGAGAGGAAGAGAGAGGGATAGAGAGTTAGAAACATCGATGAAAGAGAATCATCGATCAGCTGCCTCTTGCACACTCCCTACTGGGGATGTGCCTGCAACCAAGGAGCATGCCCTTGACTGGAATCGAACCCAGGACCTTTCAATCTGCAGGACGACGCTCTATCCACTAAGCCAAACCGGTTTCGGCACAGCTATCATTTTTAAAACTTCATTGTTGACAGTATTACAAATGTCCATTTCTCCCACCCCCGCTTTGCAAAATGTCAGTATTAACAGGAGTTTGGAAGAGGTTGGCTCCAACCCATGTTGACGCCTCCGAGGGGCTCAAGCTTCGGTGGAGGAAGTGGAAACAGCAAGACAGTGAGGCCAGAAGCAGAGCCTGGGGACTGAACTGCTTCACTCTCATACAGCATTGTAATGGCTGGAGAGCTGCTTCTTACGGACGAGCAAAGGAAGCGTTTCTTGAGGTGGTGCCTACTCCGGTGAAGGGGCTGTGGAGACAGGTGCAATGACAACCAAGGGCTTAGAGCACATGTGTCAAACACACGGCCCGCGGGCCAAATCCGTCCCGCCAGGCCTTGCAATGTGGCCCGCACCGCGCTGTCATCACTGCACTCCACTGTGTTTCCATCACAATGACAGTTTATGACTGTTCAGTAAACCATTTGGCCCGCGATATAGGCTGGATTTTAGATTTTGGCCCCTTCTCTGATTGAGTTCGACACCCCTAGCTTAGAATGTTACACAAACTTAGTTGACAAAGCAGTGGCCGTGTGAGGGGACTGACTTCCATTCTGAAAAAAGCTCTCCTGTGGGTAAGTGCCAGCAAGCAGCATCACAAGCTACAGAGAAATCGTTTGTGAAAGTCAACCGATGCAGCAAACCCCACTGTTGCCTTATTTTAAGAAATGCTCATGGCCACCCCAACCTTCAGCAGCCGTCAACATGGAGGCGAGACCCTGCGCCAGCAAATATGAGCGCTGGAGGTTCAGATGATGGGTAGCATTTTTGGCAATAAAGTGTTCTTTTTTTCTCCTTTATTTTTTTACGATATAAAAAATAAATCTATTACCAGGTCATAGATACAAAATAATTAGCCATGTACATGCAATAAACATTAATGTTTCAGAAAAAACAACTTAAAATATAATGTTACATGCTTAGGGTAAGTATAACTTATCTGCACGAGGAAACAAAAAATAGTCACATGACTCGCTTTATTGTGGTATTTGCTCTATTGCAGTGATCTGGAAGCAGACACCTGGGAGGTGTGCCTATATAATAAACTCCTGCCTCCTCCATTTCAAGCATCAACATAAAAGGGCTTTTCATTTTTCTAATAATAGTAGAGGCTCGGTGCACGAAATTCGTGCATAGGGGCAGGGGGTGTCCCTCAGCCCAGCCTGCACCCTCTCCAGTCTGGGACCCCTCGAGGGATGTCCGACTGCCCATTTAGGTCAACTATCCCACCTGGATCTGGCCTAAATGGGCAGTTGGACATTCCTCTCATAGTTCAGGACTGCCGGCTCCCAAATGCTAGCCTATCTGCCTTCCTGATTGCCCCTAATCGCTTCTGCCTGCCAGCCTGATCACCCCCTAACCACTCCCATGCAGGATTGATGTCTAACTGCTCCCCTGCCAGCCTGTTTGCCCCAACTTCCCTCCTCTGCCGACCTAACTGCCCTCCCCTGCAGGGTTGATTGCCTCCAATTGCCCTCCATTGCAGGCCTGGTCCCTCTCAACTGCCCTCCCCTGCTGGCCATCTTGTGGTGGCCATCTTGTGTCCACATAGGGGCTGGATCTTTGACCACATGGGGACAGCCATCTTGTGTGTTGGAGAGATGGTCAATCTGCATATTACACTTTTATTAGATAGGATAGAGGCCTGGTGCATGGGTGGGGGTCAGCTGTTTTGCTCTGAAGGGTGTCCTAGATCAGGTTGGGGGTTCCCTTGGGCCATGGGATGGCCTGTGTTTTGCAGTCTGGCCATGCCCCTGGCGACCCAAGCGGAGGCCCTGGTATCTGGAATTTATTTATCTTCTATAATCGAAACTTTGTAGCCTGGAGTGAAGGCCTGGGCCAGCCAGGGTGTACCGAAAGCTTCGCTTCTTCCATTGCCAGGGGCAACCCTAGCCTCCTGCTTTTTCCAGCTCTGTGGCTGCCGCCATTTCTGTTTGTAATTACCTTCTATAATTGAAACTTTGTAGCCTTGAGTGGAGGCTTAGGCCGGCAAGGGCAGGTGGAAAGTCTGGCCTCCTCCAATGCCTGGGAAACACAAGCCTCTCTCTTGCTCTGTGACCGTAGCCATCTTGGTTGGGGTTTATTTGCATACTGGCTCTGATAGGCTGGTGGGCATGGCTTGTGGGTGTAGGAGAGTAATGATTAATTTGCATACTACTCTTTTATTAGGTAGGATTAAAATAAACAAGTTTCAAAAACGTTAAATGTAAATCCCAATAAAAAGTCTCAGAAGCAAGAGCAATCCTGTGGCTTGAAGTTTTACGAAAAACTCATTACATTGTCCTTATTTTTCTTTTTTCCCCACCAGCTCCATTACCAACCTTGGACGGAGCTGCAGACCAGGCTTTGGGAATGGCCTGGGAGGAAGTTGCCAGGCAGACCTGGGCCCTGGCCTCAAATCTCTGGTTAGGGAGGAGGTTGGGGCCCATCTCACTGCAGAGGGGCCCGCCCCGGGTTGCATGGGCCGCGCGGTCCTGCTCCCGCACGTGGGGCGGGTCCCCCGGGAGCGGCCAGGGCAGCTGGCCTCCGAGCCCAGGGGGAGCTGCCTGCTGTGCGGCCATCTCCTCGGGGTCCCGTCCTGGGGCCGCAGGCTGTCAGTTTTGGGGGTCGCGCCCGCAAACAGCCCACACGGTTAGCCGGAGAGGAAGGACAGAGGCGGGGCCGGGCGCCCGGACAGCCGGGAGGGCGTGGTGTCGCCTCGGGCGGGCGCAGCGCAGGCCTCGCCGTCCTGAATCGCGTTCTCTACGGTCCGTCTCCTCTGCCCACCGCCTCCCGGCGAGCAGGCGGCGGCAGCAGGCTCCCACCGCGGCCTCGGCCGGGACCTCGCCGCCGGGAAGGGCTGCTCGCCGGCCCCACCGCTCGGCCCGGCGCCCGGCTTCCAACTGGGGGAAAGGGCAGCTGAGAGAAGAGAGGGCCCCCGCGCGCCGAGAGGCCTCCCATTGGCTGCCCTCGTTCCGCCCTCGATTGTGATTGGCCGCAAGCCCAGTGCACGGCTCGAGCACGCTCCTCCGCTGTGCGCGGCGTGCGGCGGCGGCGGCGGCGCAGCCAATGGGAGCGGCCCGGGGGCGGGGCTTCCCGGGGCGGTCGGCGCTGGTCTCCGGCGCGCGGGGAGCCGTAAACAGATCCGGGCGCCAGGTGCCGGCCGAGCTGCTGCGCGGAGGCGGCGCGAAGGTGACCGCGGCCCGCGTCCTCCGGGGTAAGGATGCCGCCGCCGCCGCCGCGAGCTGCACGCCGCGCCGGGAGCCCGCGGCCGCGCCGGGCTGTGGCCGCCGGGGCCGTCCTGGCTCCTCCTCAGGGGGTCGCGCGCTTTCCCTTGTGCGAGCCTCACTGGCCGCGCGGCCGGGCTCGCCCTCAGGGTGCGGGGGCCCCTGTGGTCAGCGCCCCCCGCGCCCCTCAGCCCGCGGGCCGCTCCGGGAGGGGCGGGCGGAGCGGCGGGAGCCGGCGCCGGGGACGCGCCGAGCCGCTCGCCGAGCAGCTGCCCGCGCGGCTCTTTGTCTCCGAGCAGCTCTCCCGCCCCCCCCGTTCCTCGCGACGAGCTCTCTCCTCCCTCCCGGACCCCGGGCCCCGGTTCGGCGGCTGTGACCGGCCCCGGCCGCAGGTCGGTGCCGGAGCCGCTCCTCTCCTGGCCCCGGCCCGCTGAGGGCTCCCAGGCGGGGTTTGGGGGTGACTCGGGGAAAGGGGGGCCCTTCCTCCCGCGCCCCTTTGTGGGTCCTTCCTCCGGCTGCTCGCGCCATCCGGGGCCTTGCGCGTGGTGTGGGCTTAGTGGCCTTCCCCCCGCCTCCCGCCGCTCCGCCCGGCCCAGGCCGGTGCTCCCAGGTGCCTCGGGGCAGGAGCGGGGCCGGGCCTGTCCGTCCGTCCGTCCGTCCGTCCGGGTGAGAGAGGTCAGGCTCCTGAGGGTGGGCCAGGGCCGTGCGTGGCCGCAGACCAAGGAGCTGGGCATGCCAGGCGCACCTGGTGCCAGAGGCTGGGAGCGGGCACCGTGCCAGGGGCCAGTTGTCCCGCGGGGGTGGGGGCAGGCTGGTGGTTCGGGGGAGCCGCAGGCATTGTGTCCAGCCTGGCGGGCGGTGCTGGCGGTGCAGGGTGGTGGTAGTGTTTGGCATGGCCTCAGGCAAGCAGAAGAAGTTGATGAGCCATCCCTGTGCGCCACCTGAGGCCAGGCAGGGCTTCTCCTCCCCCAGACTGTTGACATTTCGGGCCGGATGTCTCTGAGAGGGGAGGTGACCCGTGAGCATTGTAGGACGCGCAGCGGCGGCCCCGGCCCGTGCCTGTTAGGTACTGGGCGTCCCCTGTCACCCACATACTGGCTGTGACAGCCCAGAATAGCCCGAGAGGACAGCATCGCCCTCCGTGCAGAACCAGTGAGGTAAGAGGCTAAAAGAGTATCCCAGCGTTCCAGAGGCCGCCTGGGACCTGCCGGAGTGGCTGAGAGGTGCAGGACCAGGCTGGTGTGCCCTCTCCCTAAACATCGGAGGCAGGAGGCGGGCTAAAAGGGGACCCGGCTGGGCTCCTGGGAGGTAGAAACCCTGGGCTTCTGCTGTGCCTGCTGCATGCGTGGCAGTGGCTGGCCGGTCGGTGTGCACACACAGGGGAAGACGGTGGTTTCAGTCTCGGGATTTTGCAAGCCTGGAGATGTGCGTGTGAAATAACCGAGGGGCCCTTTTAAATACCGAACGGTCACGGATCCTCCGGTGGCTTCTCCCCTGCGATGCTTTGCTCACCCTCACTCTTTAGGAAGACGTCCCTTGTGTCTTGTAATGAGGGCGGGGGTCAGGCTGCCTCTGCAGGGAGGAAGGGTCTGGCTGCATTCAGACATACCCTTGTGTGGGTCTCTGTAAATGTGCCGTGCGCCCCTCCCTGGGACCAGCCACCTTCCTGGGACCGGCCACCTGGCGTGCAGCCGTGCGGCATGGACACCTGTGTAATTTGTGCGGTTCTGGTATAGTTTGATTGAAGCGTCCGTGACAAAGACTGAGCCATTTCTTTTCATGCAGAGAAAGACACTTTAATTCGGAGTCTAGATTTTGCCTTCAGTATAAGCCAGAATTTATGCCCCAAATTTCTGAGTCCTAAATGGATGGTATGTAGAAAAGGCTGAAAAACAAGTGATTATTGTTTTTCACTTGTACAGAGAGGAGAAAAACGTCCCAAGTGTATAACTCGGAATTCCCTTTCTTGTTAATCAACCTGTGGGGCTGTATTAGGATTTTCCCATAACACTCCTTAGTTAGTTAGGGGGTCTCTCTTACCCTTCATTGCTTACGGAGAAGAATCTAGACAGGGAGTTCACGTCTTCTCCTTTCTCAAAAATAAGTTTAAAGAAGTCTAATATTGGGAAGCTCCAAACTTAGCGGGTTAATTTTCCGTCAGGAGCCACGGACACTGAGTCATTATCTTCGTTGGTTGAAACAAGAGCTGTGTGCAGAATTAGACGGGTATTTAGGTAGAGAGTCGTCCTGATCTGACAGTGTTGTCTGGAAATAGTTCCGGCATTCCTGCTGAACAGCAGCGGGAGCTGGGGAGTCTGGGAAGGAGAGTCCATGTAGGGGGAATGTGAGGTCTGGATCCTGCATTCAGTGGCACCTGGGGGAGGGTGGGGGCTGCTAGTGCTGAGCGATCTGAGGGGGGCATCTCTCCACAGGCTGCAAACTCGAGTGGTGTCCATTGGCCTGTCCACCAGCATCTGGTTTGTTGTGTGAGTTCAGGCTCCCGAGCCCTGGTCCCTTGGTTTTGAGGTCAGGGTCCCCCAGAATATTGAAAGTTGGAAATAACTCTGAATACCTCTCTTTGCTCTTCATACTTGGGTGTGATTTATTTTTAGCGTGTGCATGTGATGTTATCATTCAAATTGCCATTTCAGGGCACTGGAGAATCTGTTGAAATTGAATAGTGGCCAAGTTCTTATCTCAGGAGCCATCGACTTGCATTAAAAACAACAATCCTCCCATTCCCATCGGGCGGGGGAAGAGGCCAGAAACCTGAAAAACCCCGTGTGCCCTGCGGGTCAGTGCCCCTCCACTCTGAGATGGTGGGCGGATCTGGCTGTTTTCTCCTCGCTGGACAAATATCAGCTGATTAGCTGCCTAAGCACGGCAGTGGGTAGAAAAGTGAGTAAGACTCGGTCCCTGACCCCAGGCAGTTGTAGTAAGGGGTGTGCAGCTACCACCTCACTACCCTCCGTGTGGTTTGGACGAGGGACTCTGGGTCAGACACTTCTGATGGACACTGCAAAGGCTTCTTTTAAAACATTATTTATTCTAATCCTCACCTGAGGATATTTTTCCATTGATTTTTAGAGAGAGTGGAAGAGAGAGGGAAAGACAGAGAAATATCGATGTGGGAGAAACACACCAATTGGTTGCCTCTGGTCAGGCCGGGGAAGAGCCTACAATCGAGGTATATGCCCTTGAGCGGAGTCGAACCCAGGGCTCTTTGGTCCGCAGGCCGACACTCTGTTCACTGAGCCAAACTGGCTGGGGCGGCAAAGGCTTCTTGAAGGAGAAGGCATGGTAGCTGGCCCCTGAGGGTGAGCAGTAGGAAGAGGCGGAAGGTGGGGATGGGAGTAAGGGGCCAGTGCTTCCCAGACTCCGTGGTAAAGGAACAGGTTTTATTCCCCCCCATCCTCCCCCACCCCATTGGTTGCAGATCAATGCTTTTGCAAGACGCAGGAAGAACTGCATGGCAGTACTAAAGTTTCTAAGTGCTTATTCCTGTGACCGAGGATGACAGTGCTGAGTAGCACTGGTCTAGGCAGCAGGATCTATGAACAGAGGCAGTGGGGTAGGTGAGAGCCGGGATGGGGGTGAGCGCATGCTGGCTGAAGGGTAGGGAGTGTGAGGGGAGCAGTAGGGGGCTGGGCTAGGGGAGCACTGGGGTGAAGCAGCCTGTGGGGTGTGCCCTTAGGAGTTTAGGCCAGTCTGAGCAGCATTGCTGCCAGCTGTGCTCCTGCTACCTTTATCTGGGCAGTGGGGTCAGGAGGGCTTGGCATGGTGCTCCTGGTCACTGTTAGCTGGCAGTTCAGTGCAGGCCAGCTCCTACAACTCACTGCCCGTCCGGCTCAGCCTGGAGGGCTTTGGTGCACTGTGGGCCGGGGCGATGGCGGGTGTAGGGCAGACTGCAAGGACCCTTAGCCTCTCAGCTGTGGGAACCCAGGTGGAGTGGGTGCTGATTGATGGGCAAGGGCTGGGAAAGCAGCTTCCCACTGGGAGGCTGGGAGCTGGAGCGGACGGCAGAGTGAGGCTTCCATGGGAGAGAAGCAGGGGCAGAGGCCTGGCCTACTTGGTAGGCATTGCTGTGGGGAAGGCACTGGGGCCTGCAGGTGTGTGCAGAGGGCTGAAGGATGGGCAGGGAAGGAGCCGGGTGGTGCTTGGTGAGAAGGGAGGGTGGCCTGAGGCCCAGGGGCGGGTGGGGGAGGTGGAATGCCAGCACAGATTCCAGAGCATATAAGTCTGTGCAGGTAGACTTTCCACACTGACTGGCTGGCCACCCCTGAGATGTCTAGTTGGGAGGAGGAGCCTTCGGGTGTGTATGGGTGGTGTCGCTGCTGAAGACAGAGGTGCAGGAGGAGGAAGAGCTGGTCTGGGGGAAATGGTGATGTTGGTTTTAGAAATGTAGGGGTTGAGGTGGCTGTGGGGTTTTCCTCCATCTTATTTTACTAAGATATCATTGCGTACGATAAAGTCACCCTATCTATTGTAAGGTTCTGCAGTTTGACAAGTGCATGTATCACATAACCATCACCACATCAAGGCATAGAACATTTCCTCAACCCCCACATTCTCCTGGGCCCCTTATGGGTGCCTGTGGGATTTTGAGGGGTGATGTGATGTGTGCATAAACAGGGTTTGTCCCAGAATTAATTGGCTCAGTGTTTGAGATGGCCTGCTTGGCCTGAGAGCAGGGGTGCATAGCCTTGGGGGAGTCTCGCTACCCACCCATGGAGCAGCCCGGGGACAGTGTAGCTGAGCAGGGAGGATGGGGTCAGACCAGGCCTGGGGACTCTGCAGGAGGCTCAAGAAGAGGGACTGAAGAAGGAGTCCCAGAGGAGGGGGTGAGAGAGAATCGTGGGGCCCAGGTGGAGGGTTTTAGGGTAGTGTTGGGGTGGCTCAGGTGCAGTGAGCTCTCAGGCGGCAGTTGTGTCATGAGGAGGGCATGGGGTGGGGCCAGACAGCGTGTGCTGGGGAGAAGGAAAGATGGGAG